TGAGCTTGAGTCGCTTGATTAGTGAACACTTAAATGAAGCGGTTCATAGTAACAGACTCTAAGTGGGCTGTCAGGGTCAGCTGTGAACGGATGCTATAAGGCCATGCATTTGGGGGGAAAATGCACCAGAGAGACCCCAAGAGGAGGTCTGGCAGAGTCTGGAATATTGGGAATCAAAAAATAAAAATAATTACAGTGGAAAGACATCAGATGTCACTGGGACAGAACAACTCTGCGGTGTACGAGTGGGGAGGAAGTGTTTGTAACCACACGCTCCGACACAGCTTCGGTAGCAATATAGGATCCGAGTCTTTAATGACATGAAACTGGTCCAATGTGTTGGCTGCATCCCCGCTGTTAGCGCTTTCTGTCCTGGAGGCTGTTGGCAGATACGGAATGACACATCTCAGAAGTGTGGTTAATAAAGGAACCTTATTTATTGCAGAGCTTTAAAATATGGTCAGGCTGGGAGGGTGCATGGAGAGCATTGTTAAATAAACAACAGCCTGGTTCCAGTGTTAGCTTAGTTATATAACAGGGGTGAAAAAACAGCCAAGAAGGACAATATTTAATTTTTTCCCTGCCCTTCTTCCAGTTATGTTTGATGCAATGCCCTTTTTTTCCTGCTATCGCATTTTTTTTTAAGCCATCATGGTGGAAGAAAAAAAGTTAAAAATGCATTCATATTAAATGAAGTAATACCTTTTTATTATTATTATTCAAGAGAGGATTTCTTTCCCAGATTTTCTATTGATTGATATTTAGTCTTTATTTTAAGAAGGTGGAACCTGTGCGTGACACTGCTGATTCCTTTGACCTCTGTGGAGTATGTGGGTTGATAGGGGTTATTGCTACTTGTCTCTTTAAAGGGTTGCAAACTAAATTGATCCTAATGAGCTTTAATAAGTCCTGTTAGTTTTAATTCCAGCTCTGCAGGTCTTCTCCTTACCTATTGTGTAAATTGGGCTTCAACTTGCCTGTTCTCTCATGTTTTTCTAGCTATGTGAAGGCTTTTCCTTGGAACTAAACTAGTATGGATTCATGCCTTGGTGGGAAAACTGTAGTCCCCTGCTAGTTTGACCACCCCAAAATCTGTCTGTCTTTTGCTCCTTGTTGCTGTTGTGGTTAACCTGAACCCATGGTGAGATTTGAAATGAGAGAAACCCCAAAGTACTGACCCTCATGCAGGAAACAGAATCCCCCAGGGAACATATTCCCTTGCTTTGAGTCACTTTTGTGGAACAGTTAGCTAGTCTGTGGGCCTGTGTATTAGTGAACTACACCTTAAAATACTGTTTTTTTCCAAGCTTGTTGCTATGAAGATCCATGAATCACCAGGACTTTAAATTGTCAGTGCCTCAGTCAGTTCACCGGATTCTTAAAAATCAGATAGAACAAATTATGAATCTTGTTATATAGCTAAATATCTGCATAAGTGCTAAAAAGTGATAAGAGTTTTTCCTCTTTGGGAATCTTTGCTTTTAAATCTCAGTATGCACAAATTGAATGAGCAATCCATCTCCAATTTCTGATAAGGAAAATGGGAATTATAATTCAAAACATAAAGAAAATCAGCTTTGCTTCTTGCTTTCTCTTAATTTATTAAATTTTCCAATCTTTATTTTTAAGAGAAATCTTTAAGAGAAAAAAAATGTTGCAGTGATCTCAGGAAAAAAACTAGATGCCTTTGGTGGAAAAAGCTTTATCTGGGCCTGTTTGGGTTTGTGCCAGACTCGCTGTTGCAGCCTGTGTCCGATGGAAGAATGTTCCGTGCCGGCTGTCCGGGGAAGAGGAATTGCTCTTGGAGCCTTTGTGCCATTCCACGTATTAATGAGGAGTGTGCATCAGGAGCATGAGACTCTGTTAAACCTTTCTGGTTTGTTTATGTTTTTCCTCATTAATTAAATCTAGCTTTCTAGGTGCTTGCAAAACCTTCTGCTAAATAAAACCTCCCTTTTGGAACTGAAAGTTGCTTCTTTTCTGCGCAAAGCAGAAGTATCGCGGCCTGCAGGCCGTGCCCCGTGGGAGGAGCTCAGCTTTCAGCTTGGTGTTTTCGCTTGGTTCCATGGGTGTGTTTTGCTCCCGCAGCTGTGGAAGTCTCGCTTGGAAATATTATTGCATCCAGCATTGTGATGGGGTCATCTTTGGCTCATAAGATAACATTGATTGCGTTATTGCAAATTAGCAAACCGGGCTAAAGTAGTTAGTTCCAGGAGAGAGTGTGAAGGAGGCAGGTTTGGGTAAGAAAACTCAGTCACTTTGAACTGCCAGGTTCCTGAATTGGGGGCCAAATAACATGGATTTTTTTTAAGCTGCAAATGAAGGAATTTGAGTCTTCCTCCGTATGTTACCCCCTGCCCTGCAGGGTGCAGTTTTGTTGCCCTGGAGCATATAGGGGACGGATAGCGCATTCCGATTACCAGCGACTGCCGGTGGGATGGCGTTCCTGGGACTTTGGAAGAGTTTCCTACCTCAAGCTTCCTGAATCCAGAAGGCTGCAAAGCAGGATTGGTCAAAAGTGGAAACGAACTGAAATGTTTAGTATTTATTTCCTTCCCTTTGCTTTCTCATAGTCTTTGTAGTTGCTTTTAGGGGGGGCACAATCTGTAAATCTGTACAGCACGTTGCGTTTCTAGACATCCTTTGTATAGTAACAGCATGTGCCGAGAGGCTGGCAGCCTCCGAGCCTGTCATTCCCATTCGCTCCGACTCCCTCCCTCCCTGGATCTGGTGACATTACATAGATGGATGTGCTTGCGAGAAAAACAGCAGAAGGAGTTGAATGCCTGCCAAAAATTTGCAGTATGAAACCGAGCTGGCTGCTTCCAGTCTTGTTTTCCCGGATCTCTCATTGTGTGCTTGCGTTCTTCGCTTGCCAGGATGTTCTTTGCTGAACAAACACCCCAGCAGTGAGATCTCTCCATCCTCAGCGTAACACCGGCTCCCACAGCAGCTCTGCGTCGGGACTACCCTTATCCCTCCTTTCTCAACTATCCTAATTTATTCAGTTGCTCTAAAACATTTTTTTTTTCCAGCTACTAGTGTCTTATTCCATATTTTCCCCAATTGGAGCTGGTTTGTTTTATGAAAGCAGTTGGGTATTTGTTTACAGCTTCAGAAGGGGTAAACACAGGAAACAGTCAAGCTGTGAAGGATAAAATCTTCTTCTTGTCCTTTTGAAGCTAAACTCTATCTACCCGGTAGGTCTCCAATAGCATAGCTGCAAAGTTTGTCTAAAATTAATGCAGAAATTGAAACCTTTTGCATATAAACTGCTAGTGCACTTAATTCTCCATGACTTGTATATGGGCCTGTAGGCCATAGTTACTCCTGCCTCTTTAAGCCAAGTAAAAGGTGTTTTACATTACAACCAGTGAAGCAAAATCCTAGAAGTCCCCGTGGCGCTATAAGGAGCGGCAATTCTGAGAGTATTGCTGCAATTTGCTTATTTGCTTATTGGAATATCCCTCAGTAAAATGATCAGCTGCCTCGCAGTGCACAACTGCTTAAAGTTTTCCCTCGGAGTCAAGCTGGTGAAAGACAAAAGAACTCTCATCATAGCAGTTAACACCCAGTTTTAGTACACGCACACAGATGAATGAAAGTAGCTGAAATGACGGTGAAGTCGATGCTTTTAAGATGATTATTGGTATCCAGAAATGTCTCCTGTTACTCCTGAAGTGCAGCTGTGCCCCATTTTATTATATGAATGAATCGCATAAAATTGGTAGCAAATTCAAGTGCATAGAAATGTGCTAGTCTCATCAAACTGTATCAAGCAGTACTACTGACCAAAGAGTTTAGTACATTTAACATAATTTAAATGAAAGCTTGGACCAGGAGGGAGGCTTTTTTGCTTCCTTCTGTTACTCTAAATATTTAATGAGTGTTCTTATCTGTAAATAAGAATAATGGTGCTGATATGTGGGTAATCGAAAGAAAATAAAGATACTGTTCTTGCGGGAAGGATCAAGGTTAATTAAAAATAACTTGTTGTGAGGCATAATAAACACAAGAGGAGACTGCAGGTAAGGAGCCAAGGGAATGGGAATGCTTCTGAGAATGTAAAAGGCGGAAATAACTCCCCAAATCACAATTCCAAGGAAAATAAAGCACTGACGGACCCTGAATACACAATTTTACCCCAGTAATGCTTTTACTGACTGCCAGCAGCTGGCTGTAGGGCATCCAGAGCCCAAGCAGGGACCAAAGTCATAAACATCACCGGGGATTTACCCAAAAGCTAAGTAATGCAAACACAGGATGGGGGATTTTAGGCTTTCTTTCCAAGATAGTCGTTCCACAGTGCATACCTTAATTTTGAAATAGTCTTCTGAGAAATTTCTAAGGTGTTTCTTCTGGTTGCTTCCATCTAGTGGATGTTTTGAAGAATATAACTCAGTCCATAAGTGTACAGCATCCATGCCTTCTTGCAAGCTATGTTATTGCAGTGTAAAACAGGCTGATTTCTGGGGAAAAACAATATTCTGGGTATAACTGCATTGCTTCGCCAGAACGAGGATTTCTAGACGTTCTCTGGCATATGCTTATGTTCAGTAATTAGCCATACATGTGCATGGGATTGCATAGTTCCATCTATCTTTGTTCCTAAACTGGTAAGTTATGGACTTGTTTTAGGAAAATACAGGCTTGGATTAGAGGCAACATGCTAGATTAGGAAATACAACACCAAATGTTAGTCCGTTAGTTCATCAATAGCCATTTTAAAGCCACTCCATTTGTTTCATTCATTACTTTTCTGGAGAGGCTGTTGTAGAATTTAATTTAAAAGCTTCCTGTGTATCCCAGTACACTTGGCTGCTTACTGGATTGCTTGCTGTTTTGTTAATATTGCGCCTCATCTAAAGCACCTCTTTTCCCTTCCTTGTGTTTAAGCCCCCTGACTTTTTTTTTTTTTTTTTTTTTAATAGATAACATCCAAGCAGCAGAAGAAAAATGCTGAATACTAAACAGCATCTTTTTCCCCTTTTCTTTTATAGCCAGTGGCAGAGCCCATTCCAATCTGCAGTTTCTGCCTTGGTACAAAGGAACAAAATCGAGAGAAGAAACCTGAAGAGCTCATCTCTTGTGCTGACTGCGGCAACAGCGGTAGGTGACCACAGAGAGTAAAACATTTGAGTAGTAGATAGTAAATAATACTAATAAATAGTAAAACTATTTGACACAATGGTCAAGTGTAGTGACTAGTTTTGACCCATACATATGAGGAGTGTGTATCTGTGACATATAATACACTTAGGAGCTCAATCTCATACTTCTAGGTGGACACAATTAAGTTAAACTTAACATGCAAATAGTTCATTGGGCTCCTGGGGATTTTCTTAAGAGTGCAGTAATGATGACCAGTTTTATCATATCACACTGTTTGTAAGTGTTAGCAGCACTCAAATAATTTTGCTATTATTTTTTGTCATCTTTTTCAATAGGTCATCCATCCTGTTTGAAGTTTTCTCCCGAGTTAACAGTGCGAGTGAAAGCCTTGCGATGGCAATGCATCGAGTGCAAAACGTGCAGCTCCTGTCGAGATCAGGGCAAGAACGCGGTGAGTTTACTAGGCCATGGCCTAGAATGCCAACCGTGTGGATCTGTTAAAACAGGAAATTGTGGAAACGCAGTGTGGAAACAAACAGAAGCTGCAAATATTTATGTCTGCTAGTCTTTCTGTGAAATATGGTGCTGTATCTGTGTTTTAAGAAGCAATGTTCTCTGAAATGGTGACAAATTAATGGAGGGCTTGATGCAGATCTCAAGACAGATGATTTTTCTCTTTGTTCCACAGGATAACATGCTATTTTGTGACTCATGCGACCGTGGCTTTCACATGGAGTGCTGTGACCCCCCTCTTACCAGGATGCCAAAAGGTGAGGACTTTGTCATGAAAGGGATAATTAAGGATGATGTTGGAAGAGATTGGTGAGTGGAAATTGTACAATAGTGTGTCCTGGAATATAGCCAAACTTCTCTCTCCCTTCAGATAGGGATCAGGTTATTTGTGGAGGATTCTCCTTAGCTGGAAAAAAATTCCTCTAGGAGATGGTTGGATGTAGTACATCCTTAAGCAGAATATGAGACTGATACTGCTGGATCATATATGTGATTTTTCATGTGTGTGGTACAGGTGATAATCAGGGCCTGTGGGACTTCTGACCTTTTTTGTTGTTGTTGCTGGAAGGCCTGTGTTCCCTAGGATCTGAAATTCTCTTTTCATGCTACAGATCCCTAGGATCTGAAATGCTCTTTTATCCTGTTGCATCCAGCGATGATCCAGTGCGTTGTGTCTTTGCAGGTATGTGGATATGTCAGATATGTCGACCACGGAAGAAAGGAAGGAAACTTTTACACAAGAAGGCAGCACAGATAAAACGGCGATATACAAACCCAATAGGACGTCCCAAAAATAGGTTAAAGAACCAAAACACGACGTAAGTCTCTTATAAAGAGGAGTAAATTGTGTCAATTTTGTAGGATAGCAGGTGTTTCTGAAGTCTTATCTGTTCTCTGGAAGAAAATTTCTTTTGCAATGAGGAGCTTTTCGTTATTCCTTAATATAGAAGGTAACTTCTGAAGAGTGCAGTCAAAAAAAGAGCTTTTTCTCAGTGCTTCTTTGTAACTGTATTTTTGACTCATTGTAGTAATTTACTATTTAATTCTGAATTGTACTTTTAACAATTAGATTTTTTTTTTGCTGTTAGATTGAGGCTCTTCTGCCAGGTGGCTGCTTCTCCTGACATAGCTGTTTTTATTTTGCATTTTCCTAAGAATTATTATTGATGGTAAAGAAGCTAAATAATCTGAAGCTCCCGAGGCTGCAGTTTAATACGTTCAATCTGACACTGCTGCCAACAGATATTTGTCCCTTCCCTTGCTTATAGCCCCACGTTTCTAAACTTGCACAGCCCTCCACATGGGGAAATCTGTGGTTTTTTCGAGGCTGTTGTGGAGGGTTTGCATTAGGGTTTGGCCAGGGGAAATTGTTTGTATTACTTCTCAGCCAGAGCATTTTCTTGAGTTATGGAGTACTTGTCATGTAGCACTGTTCACAGAGCAGGCAAGGAAATGACCAAGGAGCGTGCCACAACAACCTCTGCTTTGGGCATCAAGCCAGCTTAGAGTATTGAGCCAACACTTGATTCTAAGGAGCACCAGCAGAGATACTCTGCAAAAGGTCTTACGAGGTTTAATGGCTGAAAAAGTAGAGTAGACTTTTAAAATTTCTAGTATTAAATCCAATACATTCTGCTCTTAATTTATCCTAAATTAATTGCACATAATGCTCAGTGTGTGGGGAAAGGTGCTAGCCCACTGTGCAGCTTAGAAGACCCCGCTTTGCCAAAGCATCTGAACGTATCTTTCCTCTTCTGATCCTTCAGATCAAAAGGCCCCTTCAGCAAAGTTCGAACTGGCCCTGGTCGGGGTCGGAAGCGAAAGATCACCCTATCCAGCCAGTCAGCATCCTCAGAAGGAGGTTACCTGGAGCAGACGGATGTCTTGGACTTCTGCAGAGATGGCAGCACCACCTTGAAGTTTAACAAGAAAACCAAAGGGCTCATAGATGGCCTTACTAAATTCTTCACTCCCTCCCCTGATGGACGGAAAGCTCGGGGGGAAGTGGTGGACTATTCTCAGCAATACAGGATCAGGAAAAAGGGTACCAGGAAATCCAGCACTTCAGAATGGCCCACAGGTAAAGATTTTTCACCTTGCCGATGTTTAAGATATCCTCCACTCCAGTGTTCAAAGCCTAGGATATCAAAATGACTGGAATTGGCAGAAGTTAGGAAGTTGGAGCTGGAATTAACACTCAAATGCAGTGATCGCTCCTGGCTCTGCAGGCCATTTCTTGAGTGAGAACATACTGTCCTGGCTTTGGCAGTGGCAGAGTAACTGAACACGTCTAAATTTAATTGCTGCTGTACTAAAAAAGAAAAAAATATATATATAAATGGTAAATGAAACATCTTTCTCTTATTTACAGACAATCAGGATGGCTGGGATGGAAAACAGGAAAATGAGGAGCGTTTCTTTGGGAGCCAGGATGTCTTAACTGAAAAAGACATGGAGCTGTTCAGAGATATTCAGGAGCAAGCATTGCAGGTACAGTCAGATTTTCAGTATACTAAATAGGTACTTGACCTGACAAATAAAAATACCAAGGGAAAAAAACTCCGGGTGAGTCAGTCCGTCAACGACTAAAGAATTTTGTTTTTGCTGGTTGAGAGTAGTGAAGAACTGACCTCATGAGAAACGAAGGTAATATAAGAGTACTTCACATCAAGTACTTTCCTTTTGGAGGGGAAAGGGTTAGCCAGGGTTTGGACCTGGTGCAGGTAGTAAGTTGTAACTGCTAAGACCTTTTCTGGCTGACTGCTGAAATATCCTGATTATCCTCCGAGTAAGAATAGAAGGAAACATGAATCACTCTGGCTCCATTTGGAGCTCTTGAGTTAAGTATTACAGCAGGAGATTACTGTTCCTTTTTGCCTCTAAATAAAGTTCCTTAGAGCATATATGCCTTCTCACAAAAAAATAAAAATACCTATTTTTTTTTTCCCCCTCATACAGAAAGTAGGGGTGATTGGGCCTCCTGATCCGCAAGTCCGCTGCCCTTCTGTCATCGAATTTGGCAAGTATGAAATCCAGACCTGGTACTCCTCCCCATATCCACAGGAGTACTCAAGGTAGGACTGAACACTGCTCTCCTTTATTCTACTTCTAATGGTCTTGAAAAAAGGGGCATCAATTCCCAAGCTACAGTATGTAATTGGAGTTAAATCAGAAAATATTGGGACACTTATGTACTATATTGACTTATTTAACTACTGTATCCATAGTTTGGATATAAAATGATTCTATAGCTAAAAGCAACAACAAACCCAAACTAAACCAAAAAAATTATGACTTGTTGCCATGCCTATTCTTGGGTATAGGGATTGGGAGTTTCCTTATAGAGTAAGTAAATGCTGTGGCTATAAGTATTTAAGTGTTTATTATTTATTTATTTTAAAGCTTTTTTTATCACATGTTTAATTTCAGTAGATACTAGGTTTGTTTTCATCAAGTTCTGTATCCGCAGAAATGGAAGTTGTATGCAAAAGAATGTTATTTTGAGCTTTGGTATTTATTTCTTTCTTTACTTATAGGCTACCCAAGCTGTATCTTTGTGAATTCTGTCTAAAATACATGAAAAGCAGAACTATTCTCCAGCAGCATATGAAAAAATGTGGCTGGTTTCATCCTCCAGCCAATGAAATTTACCGAAAAAACAATGTTTCAGTCTTTGAGGTAAGTTAGGAAAATGAGATGTTACCTTTGGTGTTGAAGTCATGTTAGAAGCTTCAGAGCTACACGGGTACTCAGATAAAGCAGGTCCTTGCATGACAGCAAATGAAATGACATTTTTCTTCATTTCCATAAGGTCGATGGCAATGTCAGCACTATTTACTGCCAGAATTTGTGCTTGTTAGCCAAACTCTTCCTGGACCATAAGACCCTCTACTACGACGTGGAGCCATTTCTTTTCTACGTGCTGACACAGAATGATGTCAAGGGCTGTCACCTTGTTGGCTACTTCTCCAAGGCAAGTATTAGAGTAATTTGGACCTTTTTTTTAATGTTCAGAACAGCAGATCTGAGAAAATATATTCCTTTGTTATGATTTTAAATCTGCAATACTTAAAGATTCACTGTAATACTGTAATATAGCCCATGTCCTTTACTGTAGTGGGTCTAAGTGGAAGGTAGTTAATGTAAGTCTCATTTGTTTTGTTTTCCTGAACTAGTGGTTTTAATGATGGTGACGGATTTGATACTGTTCTACCTTTTCTATTGCAGCCTTTCCTCTTGACTTTGGCTTTCATTTTCACTTTCTGCCATAAAAGTATTTATGCCCTTGCACAGAAAAACTTCTCCTGCTTCTCACTGGTCTTTTGTTTTTAAAATCCGCTTCTTTTTTTTCTTGCTTTTCCAACAGGAGAAACACTGCCAACAGAAGTACAATGTTTCCTGTATAATGATTCTTCCACAATACCAGCGTAAGGGCTATGGCAGATTCCTAATTGACTTCAGTAAGGATCTCTTTCTTCCCTTTTTTTGGTCTTTGTCTCTTTATGTCTTAAATAAAAGGTTAACCATGGAAAAGGTTATATGTATTTTATAATTAAAAGCATCTCAATACAAAGGATGTGAAAACTCACAAAATCATGTTAACTTATAACTTCTTCTTTGGTAGAAGACTTAAATTCTGAAGACAAATTGCCTTTTTTATGTAATTTTCATGTTTATTTTGCAAGCACCTTGTCATGGAAAACATAGATATGCTATTGTAGCGTGTTTAGCAGAAGCCTGGCTTCCGTACATAGTTCTTGCTACAAAAAATCAAATCTATCCCGTCTGAAACCTTCAGCAGCTAAATTTAAACTGAATGCGTGTCTTTAAGCAAGACACTCACTTTGAGTCTTTTTGATTTAGCCTTTGAGACTAACAAGAACAGCTATTTTTAGGCTCTAAATGCTTGGACCATTCTGAGATTCATACATGCATTTCAGTGACTTCCCTGGAAAACTTATCACTGCTTTCAAATCTTTTACTATTTTGTAAAACCACAATAGCCCCTCGCTGTCAGAAAGGCCAGATTTCTTTTGAATGACTTAATGTCTACAGGGGCAGAATTGAAAAGTTAAGTATATTCAGAAGACCCTCTGCTGGTTCTGTACTTCCTTGCACAGTGTCTTTGGAGCGGGTCTTAAGGTGCTTTTGTGTTGTTACAGTTTCAAGGTAGGCAAGTGCTGCCATCTCGTGGCATTGCCCATAGCTAAGGGCAGGGTAGTTTAGAAATCTCTTATCATTGAAAAACAGATATTTGAAGTGATAAAATGTTGGCCTGGTCATGCAGTGCATCCTTCAAAACCGTAATATATATATATATTTGTAAGTAGCATTCAGAAAATTTCTGGAAAAAAAATGTCTGCGTAGAAGTGCAGTGACAAGAGATAGCTGGATGTGTCCGTTTTGTGAAACCTTTTTTCTTGGGTTCCTTTAGGCTACCTACTTTCAAAGCGTGAGGGTCAAGCAGGATCACCAGAGAAGCCCCTGTCAGATCTGGGGCGGCTCTCGTACATGGCTTACTGGAAAAGTGTAATTTTGGAGTGCCTTTATCATCAACGTGACAAGCAATTAAGCATCAAGAAGCTGAGTAAGCTGACTGGAATCTGTCCTCAAGATATCACTTCCACTCTGCACCACCTGCGAATGCTTGATTTCCGTAGTGATCAGTGAGTACAGTAGCCCTGTTGTTTCCACATCCCGTTCCACTCATGTAACTGCTGTTCGTCACCTTTAGATTAAGCTTGTCCCTTGCTCAGGTGGTGCGCCACCTGTCCAATTAATGTACAGCAAAGCTGAAGGTCTGCAGATGAACGTTGCCTATTTAAGGATAATGACATCACCATTAACAAGAAATGGAGAGAATTTTCGTAACATTTTCTCGGTTTTAGGGTGCCTTATCTGTTATTCTGAAGATATAGTGGATTGTAGAACCTTAATGAGTTGGTCCAGTCTCCACTCGCGCAGCCCTGCTTGAGAGTAAACAGATTATTATTCGTGTCGTATTTTCTGTTACATCTCTTTCACATGATATCATGTGTAGCATATAGTCTGCTCCTAATCAGTGTGTTTTTACTGTTTAGATTTGTGATCATTCGTCGGGAGAAGCTCATTCAGGAACATATGGCAAAGCTTAGAACTAACGTCCGCCCTATAGATGTGGATGCAGAGTGTCTGCGTTGGACACCCGTCATAGTTTCCAACTCGGTTGTCTCTGAGGATGAGGAAGAGGAGACAGAGGATGGGGAGAATGAAGAGCAACAACAGGAGAAGGAAAAAGACCCAGAGGCCAGTGTAAGAGTGAATCCATTTCTTATAAATAGTTTACATTTGGGGCTCTTGTGCTTTCACAGATGATGATAACAAGATTTTGAATGGGAAGCTTGGGCACGTTGTATGGTTGTAAAAAGCTTTGCAGTCACGAGTGGTGTTTACATCTTGATAGTTTCAGATGAGAAACTAAAATAGGAAAGCGAAGCAATAACTGAAGGAAGGTTCTGTCTGTCTTCACTGTTGCTAGAAAGAGTAAAATACTTCTTTTATATTTAATGCTTTTTTCAAACCAAGCCAAAAAGCAAGCAAATCCAAAATAATACAGACTAAAGAACCTCTGCACTCAAGAAACCAAATCAAATTACTGAAATGAGTGTAGGTCTGAGAGCACAGAATTGTTCCACAAGTGACAAGTATCATAAATAAAAGCTAGTCAACTAGATGCATTTTTTTTTCCCCAAAAAACAATTTTGCTATGTGTTTTCACCAAGCCAGTAATAGCTTTGATCCTAAATCACCGTATGGAGAGCAGAGCAAATTCCTGCAATACAGGCTGCTATTCTGGAAGGGCTGCCCTCCTTCCTGCATCCAGTGATAAGAACCAAGCAGACTAGTGTTTCTGAGAGGCAAATTGTGCACAGCTGCTGCACGTAAATTAAATTAACCATGCATTGTTACCAAAATAGCTTCAAGACTCTGTCATCTCCCTTTTTCTTGAAAATAACACAAATGCCGTGTTTGGATGTAGCAAGATGTGTCCCCATTCCAGCAGGCCTTTTGATGGCCGTGGCTCGAGGTCACCTGTCTGGAAGCTAATTGAGATACGTTACCACTTGGCAAAGGGAAAGACCTGCAGTTGGCACTATTAAAATCCCATTAAGATCAATTTGTTTGTCCTCATTCTTGTAAAATTTTTCTGAGTACACTTTTTTTTAAGATTCCTTTTTACTCAGAAGCTTCCACTGAATAGAATTGAGGATAGGCATGTATGTATCAATAGAAAGTGTGAAACTTGTTTGTTTTTGTTTAAATCAGATGGTAAAATCTGTATCAATTTTCTGAGTACACTTTTTTTTTAATTCCTTTTTACTCAGAAGCTTCTGCTGTATAGAATTGAGGATAGGCATGTATGCATCAATAGAAGTGTGAAACTTATTTGTTTTTATTTAAATCAGATGGTAAAATCTGTATCATGGGAGAAGAAAGAGCAAGAGCCTTATTCTCCTCCAGAGAATGAAAAAAAGCCAGACATCGTTGCTCCAGCCAATTCTGCCCGGCCAAACAAGCACATCCTTCCTCTGGATAGTCTTCCTGCCAACAGCCAGCCCTCCCGAAGAGGGCGATGGAGCCGCAAGGGCAAGAAATTGCGGGAGCCCTTTTGTGAGAAGGAAGCCAAGCTGCCCGTGGAGGAGAAGACAGCGGTCGCCAGCGGCCGCTGCAGCGAATGCGAGGAGAAATCGGCAGCCTCGCGAGGCCGGTGCAGCGAATGCGAGGAGAAATCGGCAGCCTTGCAGGGAAGATGCGGCGAATGCGAGGAGAAATCCCCGATTGCCCGGGGCCGCTATGCTGAAGAGGAGGAAAAATCTGCAGTTTCCCCGGGGCAGTACCGGCGACAGTGTGCCCCACCGCTACAGCGACAGCAGCCTGCTGAGGTGCTTCAGCGAAAGCAGCGAGGAGGAGGAGGATGAGCCCGTGAGCCCTCGGTCCAACTCTCCACCGGTTCTCACCAAGCCAACGTTAAAACGAAAGGTGTGTGCTTGCTTGCTGCTTTTTTTCTTTTTCCCCCTTTTTCTTTTGTCTCTATTGCGTTGTACTTGACACCCTTCTAATTGAAGGCAGGTTTTCTCTGATTCCTGGATTCCAGAAGGGAGCCGTCTAATTCACTGCTGTCCTCAGCACTTCATGTTTTAGCTTAGCAGTGTTTTTATTTCAGCTATGCATGATAAAAAAGTGTTCTCTTCTCCCGCTTTCCCCTCTCAGAAACCGATTCTTCATCGGAAAAAAAGCGAGTCCGCAAGCGCAAGCACCACAACAGCAGCGTTGTCACCGAAACCATCTCCGAGACCACAGAAGTGCTCGACGAACCCTTTGAGGACTCGGACTCTGAACGACCAATGCCCCGGTTGGAGCCCACCTTTGAGATTGAGGAGGAGGAGGAGGAGGAAGAGGAGGAGGAGGAGAATGAACTTTTGCCTAGTGGATACTTTCGGCACTTACCCCCACAAGACACCCTCAGGCGCAGACCTTCTTCCAAGAGCAAGTCCAAAGATGAGGAGGAGTCTGATGACACTAATGGTATGTTTGATGGTATGTAGTGGAAAGTTTGATAAGGCTGCATCAGTGTCAGGTGATAATAGCTGATGATGGAAGAAGTTGCTTACCTTGCTTTGTAACTTCCACCTGAAATACAGGGTTAGGCATAAACCACCAGTCAAACTAGCCTAAAATATCCTAAAGTCTCACAGAAACATGGTGCTTGTGTTTAACCATCTCAGCAGCCGTGAGCTGCTAACAGGTCATTTTCAGATTCAGCTTTTCCAGCGAAATTGATGTCTGTGGTTGTAGAAGAGGTTACACAGCAGAGTCATTTTACAGCAATACAGCAGAAATGAATCAAAGGAGCCCTCAGATTCCCCCAGCAAAGACAAATAATAAATGATCTCACTTGGGATAATGTTCTTCATCAAATTGCATGCCCCTCCTCTCAACTCTTCATATCTCTGTAAAGATATCTGAACCTTCAATTCATAAAATAACCAGTTCAAAACAAGTATTTTTATTTAGAGTGCACTGAAGATGCAAAATAAACATCTGTCTTTCTGATATTCCATTAGTAATCTTCCTTATTCTGTTACTGCTCAATACATCCTGTTCCCAAGAGAACTTCTTGATGGCCTGCGTAGTGCAAGGCGAGCAGCCAAGTAAAATTAGAGAACTGTATGAGAAAGATGTATGGAGATCTTATCCCCTTATAAGTGATTGTTACTGGAACCCATTCATTAATTTATGGCTTTCAAATGACCCTTGGTTAGCAGAAGAGAATTTTTTTTCTCTAAAGATGCTTGGTTCTGAAAATTCATTTAGCATCAGTTAACCTTAAATCCTCATCATAATATATAGCTATGTAAGGTGAGTGCAATCACATGTCATGCAGCATTAAGTTTGCTGCTCAGTGAAACTTTGTCTCCAGTCAACATATACTGTATTTCTGTTTTGTTAATTCTGTTTTTAGCAGTTTATTCATGAGGTATATATGGTACTCCTGCTCTGTTAATAAGATATTTTTTTGATTCTCAAATCATATGGTGTCTGTTTCCTTTTTAGACACAGATGCCTTTACACAACTTGTGTATATTTGTGTTTTTTTTTTTTTTTAAAAAAAAACTTTATTAATATATAAGTTTTACCTTTGCTTCAGAAATTTGCTTGTATTTTTGTTGTTTTTCTGGTTTTACCTGTAAGTTTTACCCCAAATGGGAAAACTGTAAGGATTTTCTCTGCAAGCTTGACTCTATGCACTCTTTTAGCCAAGTCATCTGGATGAGCACGTGGGTACCTCCACATCCTTGGAAACAAGGTGGATGAGATTGAGTGGCGATAAAATCCATAGTCCTTTGCAAGGACAGTCAACTGCATATGATAAAAAATGCATTATTATAAGCTTACCATCATAAAATCACTGATTTTTGGTTTGTATTCGTATAAAAACATATTTAAATATTTAAATTAATCCTTGAGAGGGCAGATAAAAAGCATGGGATCTTTACCAAGGAGATACTAAAGGCTGTTCCTCTGTAGTAGACTGCAAATGTGAAACAGGGGGGTTGAGTGTTTTGCTCTAACAAATGCTGTGAAGATAATATTTTCTTCTGCCTGCCTAATGATATTCTGGCTTGGGCAGATACTTTTTAATTCATGTTCCAGATACTGGATTTATGGATGACTTCAAGGGCTTGTTGCACTCTGAGCTTAGTGTTTGTTTTGGGTTCATTTCCAATAGCATTTCAGTGGAAAGTGGTTACCTTCTTTTTCTTTTTTAAATGACTAACTGTGGATAAACTTGCTCCTACGAACGTTGCTTCACTTCTGGCTACTCACAACCCTGTTGATTCTCATTCGTGTCATAAACTTGAGTAAAGGGCAAGAGTAGCTCAGTTCATCTTTGATCACTTTTTAAGAAGTGTTTGTGGGCTACTTGAGCTGGATATTACTCAGTTTTTCTTTGGTTGAATTCTCTGCATAAGTGTGCATTTAACAACAGGTCTTCTTACATTAATGCTTGGAAGTCAGCAACATTTTTTTATGGTGGAAGAGCAGAAATGTGACTATATCTGCACTGAATTGGGGGGAAGTTTGATTTTATATCAAATACTTGATTTGATATTTGATTTTTTTTATATATATATTTGATTTTATATTTATATATAGTGGGATGACCTAGCTACCCATCTACCCATTATTCTGACATCAATCCTGATTTAAATAGTAGGATGCCGGATGTGTGACTAAGTGAAGAGCCGAGGGATGGTTGTTTATTTAATACAACTGAACACTGGTTTGTGAAGAATAGGTCTTGTCAGGCAATACCATATATTTTGTAAGCTTAAAGGTTGGTTAATATGGGTAATTGATGTCACAGTATTTTGTGAGGTGTTTGACTTTTCAGTTTAATTAAATGGTTTTGATTAAATGTTACAGAATCAAGCTAGTACCTATTAAATTAATGACATGGTAAACAAGGAGTAATTGAGCAGCTTCTTATTCTTTGGGGTGCAAAGAGAGTGGTTGGGGTGATGTGTGTGGTCTTTAATCTATAAAATAGCATTAAGGTATCAGCTGAGAGGAAGTTTGGGCCTGGGTGAATGGAGGGCACTGCCATAGTTTTGGAGAGAGCGTTTGAGGGGTCGTGTCCAGCTGAGAATGATTCCTTAGCTCCAAACCAAGGAGACTCTGATGATCCTTTAATATATGAAGAGGAAATCACAGGAGGGTAGGCACAATCTGTCCTCTTTAGCTACTACTACTGTCCTTACTCAATTATTTACATTTGGTACAAGTACTGATAGCCTGAGATGGCTCAAAGAATGGCTGATTTAAGGCATTGGCAAATGTTTAAGTGATAGATTCAAGGCAATCAGCTCCAGAAAAAGGCTGACTTGACAAGCTTAAAAATTACTTGTGCTGGAACTGGCTTTTGATAGGAAAGATTCTCTGCCTAGCAGATAAAATTTAATCCAAAATCATATTAAGAAAATAAGGCAGGAATTCAGATGGCAAGCTGTAAATATTTACCATGACATGAAAGTCAGATAAGAAGTGAATTCAACTACCTTTTAATGTTTGCTCAGATACAAAACACTTTGCTGCCAAATTGAGGTATCTCTATTTCTGATGGCATTTGAAAATGTAAGGCATGACAAAAAGCTGAAATATTTCTTTTCTGAGCCTAATGCATGAAATACAGATCTCTAAATATAAGCCTGCTTTTATTGTAACTTCATGGATTCCCCTACCTTGGAACACTGTCATTTGTGGGTATATTGTGTAAATAACACTTGCATTGCGTGGTGAGTCTTCCCAGGACTTCATTGTGTTGCCTGTGTTTAATTTGGGATGTATGCAGTTGGGTTTTGTTCTTTGCAAATGAAACATGTCATGTGATTGCTAACCTTGATACTTATTGTTAACCCTTTCCAGAATTCCCTAAGCTGTTATTGGTCTGTGAAGCTGATAAACATGATGGGATACTTGGGAAAGCTTCCATGAATGCTCAGGTAGAATAAAATATTTGATCTATGTTTTTCTGTCTGTGTTTTCAGGCACCCCGACCTTGAAACCGTTGTCTGTGCTGAGAAAATGTGAAGAAAACGATTCTTCACTGGAACCTGATACTTCTACACCCATGAAAAAGAAGAAGGGGTGGCCAAAGGGCAAGAGTCGAAAACCAGTCCACTGGAAGAAAAGACCTGGTCGAAAACCAGGCTTCAAACTGAACCGGGAAAAAGTGATACCATCAGTTCAGGGTGAAGAAGTTGATGCAGTGGGAGCTGGCTCAAAAACAGGGCGTAAACCCAAACTGTCAGATACAGAGAACAGTGTTGAGCAGAAAGAAGAGTTGCCCCTTACTGAGGAAAGGAAAGATGATGATGTGAATATGGAAGCGGAAGAGGTGGGAGAGGGGGAAGAGGAAGATACGACCAGCAGTGAAGTAAGGGCAGTTTCTCCTGTGGACAGCAGCAGCAGTCCAGCCCCAGAGGCTAAAGAGCCTGAAATAGAGGAGGAGGTGGAGGAGAAGCCGCGGGTTTCGGAAGAACAGAGGCAATCGGAGGAAGAACAGCAAGAACTAGAAGAACCTGAGCATGACCACGAGGAAGAAGATGAAGTCGCAGTAGTGGCGAATCAGAATGAAGACCATGATGCCGATGATGAAGATGATGGTCATGTGGAGTCCCTGAAGAAGAAGGAGTTGGAGGAACAGCCTGTGAGGGAAGGGGTGAAGGAGGAGCCCGACGTGCAAGAGTGTTTTTTAGAAACAAGCATATCAAGCAGTAGAGAGGAGGCAAAAGGAAAAGATGAACCCGAGGCAGATTCGGAGGAAGAACAGGCTTCGAATGAGACATCGGTGGGGTCAGAGCATGTCCCTGGGTCTGAGGATGATCACGAAGAAGAGCAGAGTAATAAAGAAGGGCTAATTGAGTTAAAGGAAGAAGAGGAGATTCCTCATAGTGAACTAGATCTCGAAACTGTCCAAGCTGTCCAGTCCTTGACGCAGGAGGAGAGCAATGAGCACGATGTAGCTTACCAGGACTGTGAAGAGACCCTCGCAGCGTGCCAGACTCTGCAGAGTTACACCCAGACGGAGGAGGATCCCCAGATATCCATGGTTGAGGATTGCCAGGCCTCGGAGCACAACAGTCCCATATCCTCCGTTCAGTCCCACCCCAGCCAGTCCGTGCGGTCCGTGAGCAGCCCCAGCGTGCCCGCCCTGGAGAGCAGCTACACCCAGATCAGTCCCGAGCAAGGATCCCTGTCCGCGCCCTCTATGCAGAACATGGAGACCAGCCCCATGATGGATGTGCCTTCCGTATCGGACCACTCTCAGCAGGTGGTGGATAGCGGCTTCAGCGACCTTGGGAGCATCGAGAGCACCACGGAGAATTACGAGAACCCCAGCAGCTACGACTCCACCATGGGAGGCAGCATTTGTGGGAACAACTCTTCCCAGAGCAGCTGCTCCTACGGAGGGTTGTCCTCTTCCAGCAGCCTCACGCAGAACAGCTGCGTGGTCACGCAGCAGATGGCCAACATGGGCAGCAGTTGCAGCATGATGCAGCAGAGCAGCGTCCAGCCCGCGGCCAACTGCAACATCAAGTCCCCGCAGAGCTGCGTGGTGGAAAGACCTCCTGGCAACCAGCAGCCCGCGGCCCAA